GGCATTTTTTGGCATTTTTTTTAACTATTTTTGGTGCCGAGAACACTTTGGTTGATCTAATCCTCGACGGCTTCGTCTGTGGTGGCTGCGACTTCGCGGTCTACATCCTGTAGGACTTCATTCATCTCGGCTTCCGTTGCTTCCAGGCCCTCCGAGCTCATGAGCTTGTTGTCTTTGTCCTCGGCTACAAAACCCTTGTTAGTATAATGACACAGGCTCAACGGGTTGTCATAGATGCGGCGCCCAGATGCGTGAAGACCAAGCAAAAGTAAGAAGAACAAGCACCGAGTCGGCCGCAGAGGGGGAAAGCACTTACTTCGTGGTTCTACCATCAAGTTCTCTTGGACCTCACAGTCGGTAAGCACAGAGTAGTCCCCAATGACGCATCTCTTGCCCAAGATACACTTTGTCAACTTGCACCCTTTCCCAATCACAACTCCGTCCATCAAAAGACACTGAGACAGCTTGGCTCCTTCGTTGATCTGACAATTGGCTCCCACGACTGACTCCTTGATGGCTGTCTTCTCCTCTACAGTTACGTTTTCAGCGATGAGACTGTCCTGCTTGGTAATGGTAGTTCGTGGCTTGACTCCCTCAGGGTATGCCACTTTTCTCGAATGGGCAAAGGGCGACGCTGCCTCGAGCCCAACTTCTTCGATGGACTCCAGTTTAGCTAGTTGTAGAGATATGGCAAGCAAGAGCTGTGCGGTATCAACACGGCGAACAATAGCTGGCTTTTCTTGTCCCTCGCCTGAATGAACGTATGCGACGACGGGGGGGGTACGTTGATTTGCTTGTGATTTCAGTGAGCCATCTTTGCCCATGGACTTGGTTTCGCCTGGTCTTTCAGTAGATTGCTTTCCTGCTTCTTCTGGGCCAGGTGGTGGTGAAGTAACACTCCCCGATGTGGAATCGTTGTCATCTTCTGATTTGGCGGCGTCGCAAACCGTGGTGATATGCAGCTTGTCCGCAAGTCCGACTTGCCATCCGGCCTTGGCCCACCAACCCACCACGTCCTCACCAATGCTGTCGAGTCGATCATTCTCCTTGACGAAGTCCAGAATCCATCGGGGAAAGATGTAAATGTGTGCGTCTCGGTGAGTAGTCAGCATTCGGATGCGAGGGTGTGCCCTGAGTAACGCGTGCCGGATTGGCAATGACTTCTTATCCTCCATAATGTCTTTCAATGAGTCTGTAGGCATCGAGTAAACCAGCTTTGAGAGATGGGGGAAAATGGATCCTTTTTGCGTGGCTGATTGCCCAGAAGGGAGCGGAGAGGTGGCGATGAAATCAGTCTCTTCACCTTTAACCACCGGACCTGACTTCGTGTTGTACCAAACTCCAAGACCGCCACTGTGGTGGCTTTGGTGACCCATTGTGCAGCGCCCATCTCCTAACAAATCAGTCAGGCTTGCAGACTTGACCATCCATGCTTGGAGGAGCTTATCTCCGCCTAATTCGCAGACAAGATCGCAGGGCAGGACGACAAAGTCCGATTTGATCAGATTGCGAACTTCAGAGAGGCGAAGAATTTCCGCGGTTCCCGTGTTGTAGTCCAAGTCTGCCGGAGCGAGAATATCTGGTCTAGGGAGAGGCAAGCCAGTGAGAAAGGGGTTTATGCTAAATGCAGAGTTCATGGCTTTGGATGCTGATGGTGGGCATATCAGGGTGATGTCTGCGAGACATTAGCTTTTTGCCACACAAATATATGCATATAGCATATTGCAGCAAGAAACAACAAGTTGTTGTCGTCATACACACACACACACACACACACACATATATATATATATATGCATACGCTTGTGTCGTATGTTGGCTGTGCCAGGACTCGGGTGTGAGTGACAGTGACCTACTTGTGATGCCCATTCGGTGACAAAAGTCAATGGGGTACCACACCATTGGACGATTAGCAATGGGTAGAATAGCCTTGGGGTTCTCATCAGGATTTGACGTGAAGGTCGGAAATGATGATCCCGGTCCGCAAAGGATGAGTGCTTGCAGCCCCGTTGAGGGCATCGACATGGCGTGGGGCATTTTGACCGTTGCCCTGGCCGGTGTGAGGCCGATTGGTGCTTCGTTTGGTACGCCGCTCGTGAGATGGGAAGCAGGCTCAGTTGAACTGTTGTGTTTGAGCCTTGAGGGGTCTTCCCTTCGTGTGCCCACGTGTCCGGGCGTTCGTGTTCAGATGCCTGATATGCTCGAGGATGCTTTTCAGAAGGAGTCATAGCCTCGCAGAATTGTTATGTTGGCCGGAGCGAGCTGTGTGGTGGGGTGTGGCTGGGTACCAGCGAGGGGCAGGTGTGGCTGAGGGTGGCTGATGTCATCACTGCCACTGCCCGCAGCTTGCGCGAAAGTTCACGTGTAGTACTCCGTACGGAGCACGACGCGGTAAGGCTACGCAGCCCCACCCCTCGGCACCGGATCTTTGGTGGTCCCGCTCTCCGAGCTCTGGTACCTCGGGCCAACCCAAAGCGTTGCTGGGCACGGAAAAGAGGCGCTCCACCCCATTGTTGACATTGGGCAAGATGAACCTTGACGACACCCACCAGCCACCAAACCCGTCCCAGTTATTAACGGTCCGCATCTTCAGTCTGCGGCATCATTCCAACCATTTTCCTTTTGCGCCACACCTAACGACTCTGGTTCATCTCTCCGAATATTGCCCAGACCCATTGAATCTGAAATCCCGTCCCTATCGCCTATCCTCGTCTGCCAGTCTCCAGGAAATGCGATACCACTCCTTCGCATAAATGTCTCCAGATCGGTACGACCGTGGATCCTCCCGGCGCGGTGTCTGGAGCCACTGGGTGCCGCTTGCCATAACCCTCACAGTCGCAACTGCTGGGGTGGCCGCCTGGATATGGAGCCAGCGCAAAGAAGACGAGGAGGATAATGAGCACGAGCCGGGCTTGGATTATGAGAACGCTGATTACGGGGACAACCCCCCTTACGGTGCTTCGAACCGCGATTCGCGAGGGCCCCAACAACCTCCTCGACTGTATCAACAAGGCGATGATGCTGCATCCTATGGCGTAGCTACGGCTCCCAGTGATGTTTCTGGGGGGGGATGGGGAGCACGCATGTCCGGCGCGTTGAGAAGGACGCCCAGTCCTCAACACTTCTTCGACTCGACTGGCAAGACGGTTGCTGCCGGAATGGCTGCCGCTGGCGCAGCTGTGGGCAAGGCCCTTGCTTCTATCCGTGAAGAGGATAAAGCGTACGGAGAAAATCCGTGGCAAGAAGAGGCCGATGCGAAGAAGGGTCGCGCTCCCGCCACCGGGGAGAAAAGCCGGAAGACTGTCGCTATCGTCGTGTCGGCCGATACAAAGATCTCTGATATATCTGATGACGGAACACACGAGCTGGCTGTAAGCTAACTCATCTGCATTTCTGATCGGCAATGTTATGGCAGAGCTAACGGGCTACGACAGTCAATTCTGTCCCACATTCCACGCCACAATGACTTTTCAAAAATCAAGTTGTACATCCTGATATATGCGCCGGATCTAAAGGAGCCCATGTTGGATGGTACTTCTAGTAACCTCCCGCCGCCTTCTTTGAGCTCATCATTTTCTAACATTGGTCATGATCAAGCCCAAACCCCTGGCGAAGAGACCAAGAGCCCTCTGTATGCTTCTGCACCATTCGTCACCTGATGGTTTTGTCCCAGCTCCTAATAACATGAACACAGCATCGCTCCGTCAAACATAAATGCCGCCTACGATGCCATTTATTCCCAGGCTCTTAGCCTGGTGGACAAGGAAACGACTATCCTACCATTCACAACGCCAAATGGTCACGTTCATATTCTGCGTCATATTCAGCCAGACATCCTGTACCTACAGGAGTCTCTGAGTGGAGATAATGGCAGCATCATCACTACTCTCCAAACTTGGCTACGGCACGACATTATTCTGGTCGTTGGCGCTGAGAGTGGTTCTGGAGGGCTGGCGGATAGTGAGTCGGAAGCCGAGAGAACAGGGAAACAAGTAGAGAAATGGTGGCAAAGACCTGAACGAGTCGGACGCGGGCGCGGAGTCGTGGTGGTCGATGGCATGCGGGTACATGATGATTGGGCTCGAAGGGTCCAGGGTAGGGAGTGACGGTCCTGTGATGGTTGGGCGGTCATTTCATGAGGAGTGAATAAGATCTGTAGTTTACGTACATGTATGGTCTATTTTTTATTTTATTTTCATTTTTACTTTTATTTATTTTTATGATAAATTGACAATGTATGTAGCATTGAACATTTGGGGTGGTTCAGGACTGGGTGCGGAATGAACATTGAGAGCAGCAAGGATGGAAGTGAGATTTGGAGCACAGCTCACGTTCATACCTTGTTCAATGGTTGATGCACGGACTGATTCAGCCCTCTGCTTAGATAGTTCGAAGCACTCTGATTTTTTCGCATCTAGACACTTCTTTGTTTATCAATCAACCTAAGCATGAGGCTCTATGTCCTGCTAGGTTATTCAAAGGGTTCAAAGGGGGGCACTGTGCTTTCGGACAAGGCGCATCACGTGACGCTCATCTGCGCGTGAGACGACCGTACAAACGCAACATCAATGATCATTCGTTTGGCATCAACAGGGTGCGAAGCGCTGCGCCAGCGTCATTCACTTACAAACCTGGTATCTGCAGAATAATTATTATTGTGTGATAATATCTCATGGATCATTTTCGGGCCCTTTCATGAGTTTTTTTGCCGCGCTGCACGGCCAAACTCACCCCAACTCTTTCTGCCTTCAAATATCGACGTCTCCGCAATTCACTAGCGCAGTACGACTCCTCGACTTTCGACATCAGACATCGCCTTGCCATATTTCCTTCCACCTCCGAGTCGCAACGCTTTCGAGCCGATAAACACCGAACCCAACCCGCCCTGGGTGCATCGATGACCGCATACTGGGCTTCCGAATTCCGATTCGACTTCAGCTGGCAGAGTTGTTGAGCGCGCGTAGGCTGATATCAGCCGTGGACGGCATTCGCGAGCCACCATGGTGACTACCAGCCCCGTCGTTCAACAGAATGGCGCGGCCAAGATAAAACGACCAGTTCCGCCCGGCATTCAAACCAACGGCATCGCGTCGTCGAATTCATCCCCCTCACCTTCCATGTCGGCAAAGAAACCGCCGACGAGCGCGAAACAGGCTCCGAATTCGGCCAGCGATCGCTCTATAACCGCCTCCACGGTTCGCCCAGTCAACCGGGCGCGCCGCGAAAACTCATCCCAGGCAGCCGGTAGGAATTCGAGAAACAGTGCGGGAATGCGTACTGGCTCGTTTTCTGTAGATGCTGGTGCCAAGGATGACGGCCCTCCCCCATATGGTATTAAAAAACCCTTGTTCTGCAACGTCTGACTGCGACGTGACGTTGTCAACTAACAGAGTGTCTCATCATTAGTTGTTACCTCTCAATACATCTTGAGCAAACACTCAGGCAAACCCCCCTCCTTGGTTGTTCACCTACACGCTACCCACTTCCGATTTGACGGGCAGGATGGAATGTTTCCCTACAAGTCGCCAATGGGAAAATTCATCGAGCATCTTAGAGCGCGCACACTTCCGCATGATATTTTAGAATATCTGATCGAAGCCAAGGTCCCATTCTATGATGGATGTCTCATCGTTCAAATCCACGATCATAAATCTCTCGCCCAAACAACAAAGGCTGTCACTAAGGCTTCACGGACGTCTAACGCTGTCTTACCGTCGTCAATTCACAACTATAACCAATGTCTAACGCCGTCGCCCTACGTACCGTTCCCGAAGGAAGAACAAGTTACGGAAAATGGAATTGCTAGCAAGGATACTGACAACTCAAAGCAGTCACCAGAAGAAGAAAAGGACAAGGAGAGCGTGACTGCTCCAACACAACCATCGGAATCCACAACAACCAAGGAAGCGGCGAAGCCCAAGATTTTCACCGCCGTCTTGCATCCGACTCCTGAGTCTTTACAAGCGGATCTCAAGATCAAGGCCACGACCCCAAAAGGCGACGGCAAGGGTGTTAACGACACTCCATCGCTTGCACCGCCGTCGACCCCATTATCCCTCGTTCCGCCAACACCGACTGCAAGTAGCATGCCACCTCCCGCAAATAAGCGCCAAAAGAAGGAGAGGATGGAATTGGACAGCAGCACCATATATGCGGCCGAAGGACAGATCCTCTTGGCAACAACTGCGCCCTTGATACTAGAGCCAACACGGAACCCGGAAGAGACTATTCTTTTATTGGAGGCAATGGCGCATCCCAAGCACTCTGAGCCCCCGCCTCAACCAAAGACTCGAAAGAGGACTGTCGCTGAAATGGCTGCCGACGAGGCTGCCGCTGCCGATCAGGAACGATACATGCTTGTACTGGATGATAGACTGTCGGGCAATACCTCTGGAGCTCAAGGATCCAGCGCTACTGACGGTGAAGCCCAGACAAATGCAGCGGCGTTTGAGCCGAGATTTGAGAGGTTCAAAGTTATCGAGGACATCAAGAGAGATCATGCTGAGAAAAAGGAGCAAGAGAAGATTAAACAACAGGAGAATGATCGACGTTTACAGCTTCAGAGACAGGAGCAGTTACTACAGGCTCAGCGCCAACAAGCAGAAGCCGAACGACAAAGGCGCGAGGCTGTTTTGAAGGAGAACCAGATGCGACAGGAAGCCCAACGGCAACAGTTGGCGGCACGCTCTACTGCGGCGGCTGCGGCACAGAGCCAACAGCAACAACAAAATCAGCAGACGGCTCAGAAGCAGCAGCAGCAGCAGCAGCAGAAGCCGCAGTCGCAGCCCCAGCCTCAACCGCAGCAACAACCACCTCAACAACAGCAGCAGCCCCAGCCTCAGCAGACGACGCAGCATGCTCACCCTGCGCAAAATGGTATTACTGGCAACATTTCGAATGGGGTCCCTGCCGGCGGACAAAGTGCTATGGCTAATAATATGCAAGGAGCTGCACAACCTCGCTTCCCAGCTCAAATGGCTCAAGCCGCAGCCGCCTCGTCTCCTGTGATTCGGCAAGGAACACCGCTGTCTTCGCCGATGGTCGGCAGTGTGCCTATGCAGCAGACCAACTCCAACATTGCGACCAGCCCCCCTCGACCGCCGTCTGCCGTTCAGAACGGTCAGATGTCCGTACCCATGGCGCATAACATGTCTGCTAGGGGCAGTCAACAGAGTCATCCTTCTGGCACTCCTCGTATGCCCAACTCGACGCCTAACATGCCTCACGGTACACCAATTAACCGACAAACCGTGATAGCCACTCCACGGATGACACACGCTAGCCCGCCTCCCAACATGGTGGCTCAGAATTCTCAAATGGGCATGATGAATCAACAGGGCATGAACCAACACAATCCGCAGATCTTTGCGCAAATGGCAGCACAGCAAAGAGCCATTGCACAGCAGCAGCAGCAGCAGATGGCGGCTATGCAAAATGGGGGTGCGAACGCGGGCTTGAATCCACAGGGAATGACACCTCAGCAACAGCAAATGATGCAAATGATGCAGAGGCAAATGATGTTGCAACAGCAGCAGCAACAAGCTCAGCAGCAACAGCATCAGCAACAGCAACAAGGAGGCATGATGACACCCCAGCAGCAGCAGTTTGCTCAGCAGTACGCGCAACTGCAGCAGAACATGCAAGGCAATCGGACAGGGCAGATGTCAGCACAGATGCAGGCACAATTACAACAAATGGCACGAATGGGACAGATAAACAATCCAATGCAGAGACAGGTTAGCGGACAGATGATGAACGGTAGCAACGCAAATATGCAAGCCTTTGCTGCTATGCAAATGCAACAAGCGCAGCAACAGCAGCAGCAACAACACCACCCGCAGCAGCAGGGCCAACCTCAACCGCAGCAAATGGGCGCCAACCCTATCCAAGCCCAGATACAAATCAATGCTCGGCAAATATATTCTCGCCTAATGCAGGGTGCAGTCGCCAAATTTGGCAGCGCTGAAAACGTGCCACAGGACACACTTGATAAGATGAAGCAGTCCTCCTTGTTACAAGCGCAGCAAATGCTTCAACAGAGCATGGTACAACGGCGAGCACAACAGCAACAAATGATGCTGCAACAACAACAGCAACAAGCTGCGATGCAAGGGATGGGCGGTATGATGGGACACCCAGGCATGTAGAACAATGCAAAAGGATGCCCAATGATACGCAGTCAGCGACGGGCTATATGATGGGATGGGGACGAAAACGAAACACCCGGCGGGCCTTTTTTTGTGCATTTTTGACCGGATGGGGATGGGTACTGGAGTTTATGGTACAGCCGATGTGACATTATTTTCCCACTTTTGTCTTACTGTTTTGTCTTCTTCCGCAGAATCGGGCGCGGACTTTGAATACCCCATGGATTTTATTTGAGGTTTTGCTTAATGTACTGAAAGACCGAACAATGGGCGCGGGCGGATGAGCACATGGATTTGAGACTGGCGGCGTACTTGCGTGTTAGCTCCAGCATGGCGTTTACCTGGCTTCACCTGGAAGGTGGAGATGGTTGTTTTGTACATTATACACTTGTTAGAATATGAATCATGGTTACGAAAGCATTAATTTCATTTTGATGCAAATGCATTGTGACCGCTGGGCCATGTAATGTTGACCGTCTTCACCTTCTCACAGCGTCGGAGAACGGACAAGCGGGTCACGTGTCTTCTCCACAGAAGCACAGAGGGGTTCCGTCATGACACAACCGCCCAAGACGCCAAGGACGGAAGCTGCTCAGGTGGTCACGTCCAAGATTTGGACTTTGGATTCGACCACGTCCAGCAGCCCGGGCTTAGACTGCAGCTCAACGTGACACATCTCACCCGGCCTCTAGGGGGATAAAGTGGTGTATTCTCGTCTCTCTTTTACTATTCTCTTTTTTGAACTTGCATAGCGACCGACTCTCCGCTCCGAATCGTCCCTTTTGTACGCCTTCCCTCCCGCGTCTCGTCGGCATCCTCGCTATCCTCGCCGCCTCGTCCGCCCGAAGGTCGACTCCATCACCAACTAGATCCGATGCATCCGCCACAGGTATCGGCAGTCTTGCTGCCTCTCCTGCTGGCACCTCTGTCCAGCATGGCCATGCTGCACTGCGAAAATATCCTTATTCATGGTTATAAATTCAACTTGGAGAAGCTCAAGGGCCCGCATTCTGTCGTCACCTCCAAGTACGACTCGGTGACACACACGCATCATAATACAACCTATACATTGGATGTGTGCCAGCCATTGAAGAAGAGTGGCACGAGTAAATCCACGGAGGAGTGCCCTAACGGCACCAGAGGTACGCCGTGGCTCCCTGTTGGAACCGACCCGAGTATGTGATTGCTGACAAAACCCTTGTGCAGTGTGTGCTATTTCGCGATTTATTCAAGGCGATGTGGACAAGGTCGAAACGGTCACTGCCATCGCCGGCAGTCTGGAGAACGTGGGCGGATCCCAGTTTGAGTACGAGGCGACGAGGTTAAATGGCAGCGACTCAAACAGCGATTCCAAGAAGCAGGGCTTGCGGCTGGTGCTCAAGGGCGGCAAGCATCCCCTCAGTGGGCCTGTCAAGGATCGCCGCGAGCAGAAGGCTGTTGTCGAGTTTCTTTGCGACCCGGACAAGGAGGGCAACGAGGGGGAGTGGGAGTCGGAGGACAAGTACTCCAAGCTTCGCCGCCGTGAGGATAAGAAAGAGGACGATAAGGACGGCAAGGATGGCAAGGACGGTGACGGTGACAAAGATGAGTCTTTTGGGGAGCACCAGCTGAAAAACGACAAGGCTGCGCTGCTCTGGGAGAGCTACGGACCGGAAAAGGACGCCGATGTCCTGCGACTTACCTGGCATACCAAGTATGCATGCGAGAAGCGAGATGGAGACAATGACAATAAAAATGGTGACGGTGGGGACAGCAGCGCTTCTTGGGGCTTCTTCACCTGGCTTGTCATAGTGTGAGTGGTTACCAACACTGGTTTTTGCGTTTTCCATGTGCAATCTGCTAACGGTATATATAGTGCCTTCTTGGGCATCGCAGCATATCTCATCTTCGGCTCCTGGCTCAACTACAACCGCTACGGTGCTCGGGGATGGGATTTACTCCCTCATGGTGACACCATCCGCGACATCCCGTATCTGCTGAAGGATTGGACGAGACGCGTGCTGAACACTGTCCAAGGCACAGGAAGTCGCGGAGGGTACAGCGCCGTCTAGGAGGGTTCGTTGGACACTTTAGAGAGGGTGTAACAAATGAGATAAACAAGCGAGTCTGCAGCAGCGCTCGAGTCGAGAGGGATGTCCTGTGACTGGGCCGCGTTTTTTCTTTCTTCTCCTTTTTTGAGGCGCATTGGAAGAATTGGTTTGCGCTATTGTACAGATAATGCAACGGGAATGAAGATGCCGGTCTCGCGTGAGATGTTTGCAGACGGCTGTGACGGGCGGGCTTGTCGACGGTAGAATTGATGAAGCACGGGAAGCATCACTTTTGTATACAATGAAGCTCGTAAATGGACCTGGCTAGGTGGTAAAAATATGAATTACAGTATGATTATCATGGCCTGTAAACACAAGAGCATCAAGCAGCTCACTCAGACATATTGCAATAGTAAAATTGGGTGGTTAAGAAAATGGAACCAAGGCACAGTGATGGGCTGACAGCCTCACCCGTTGCAGAAGTGCATTTGCTAGCGCTTGAGGGTCATGCAAGTCTCCAAGCTGCCATGTTACAACTCTAAAGTCGTATCTTGTCGCATCCGGCCCAGTCATGCCGAGTCACTCGACACAGCGGCAGCGGCACAGCGAGACCGGAGACGCGTTATCGATAAGCGAGCTATGAAATGTCAACGCCCTTCCATGGACAGTCTGATAACCCCCCTCCAGCGGCCACCCCAATCCAAACGTCTGCCGCCGTTTGCAATTGCTCAAATCCCGACCGTTTGTCATCTGACAGATTGTAAGGGAGGCCAGAAAAACAACAACAACCATGGCCATGAGGCTTCCAGTTCGGCAACTCGCCCTGACGACGAGGACATGGGCCGCCTCCGCCTCCCCGAGCACGCGGCGCTTTACGTCGACGGCGTCGAACCTCTCCGACGCCGCGAAGAAGACTATCAACGTGAGTCTACATAGGTCCCTACAGGCCGATTGCCCTTGTTCCACGGACGCTGACTGACGGGGGGGTTTTTTGTCGCAGAGGGACGCAGAGCTTCCCAATCCCGACCCGGGCGCCGACTCGCCCTCGGCCGCGCTCGTCAGCGAACACGCGCCGTACATGGTGGCCACGTATGCGCGGCCGCCGCCCGTGTTCGTCCAGGGCGAGGGCTCGTGGCTGTGGGACGTTGAGAACAGGAAGTATCTCGACTTCACGGCTGGCATAGCCGTCACGTCGCTGGGCCACAGCGACGCCGAGTTTACCCGGCTTCTGACGCAGCAGGTTGGTTCCCCCCTTTCCTTGTTGGTGCACCCCGGTGTGAAGCCGTGTGTAAAATTGGCAATCCTTCTTGATTAACTTTTTTCTTTCTTTCTGGGTTCGCAGGCCAAGACGCTTATCCACGCCTCAAACTTGTACTACAATCCGTGGACGGGCGCGCTGTCCAAGCTCCTTGTGGAGAAGACGCTGTCGTCGGGGGGCATGCACAACGCCTCGAGGGTGTTTGTGTGCAACTCGGGCAGCGAGGCCAACGAGGCGGCCATCAAGTTTGCCCGCAAGACGGGCAAGGTTGTCGACCCGTCGGGCGGCAAGGTCGAGGTCGTGTCGTTTGGAAACGCCTTTCACGGGCGCACAATGGGCGCGCTGTCGGCGACGCACAACCCCAAGTACCAGAAGCCGTTTGCGCCCATGGTCCCGGGCTTCGTGCAGGGCGTGTACAACGACGTCGCCGGCATCAAGGACCTGGTTACGGAGAGGACCTGCGGCGTCATTGTTGAGCCGATCCAGGGCGAGGGCGGCGTCATGGCCGCCTCGGAAGAGTTCCTCGTTGCGCTGGCCAAGAGGTGTCGCGAGGTGGGTGCAGTGCTCATCTACGACGAGATTCAGTGCGGGATGGGGAGGACGGGCAGTCTCTGGGCGCACGGGAGCCTGCCCAGGGATGCGCACCCGGATATTATTACGACCGCCAAGGCCCTGGGCAACGGGTTCCCGATCGGTGCGGTTGTGGTCAACGACTTTGTGAGCGACAAGATCAAGGTTGGCGACCATGGGACTACGTTTGGCGGGAACCCCTTGGCGTGTCGGCTGGCGCATTACCTCGTCGAGAGGCTTTCTGATCCCGCACTACAGCGGGGGGTTATTGAAAAGTCGAAGCTGTTCAAGGATGGGTTTGCCAAGTTGAAGGAACGGTTTCCGGAGCTGGTTACGGAAGTTAGGGGTCGCGGACTGATACTGGGCCTGCAGCTGACGGAGGATCCTAGTGCTATTGTCAAGGCGGCGAGGGAGAGGGGTTTGTTGGTGATTACGGCGGGAACGAATACTTTGCGTTTTGTGCCAAGCTTGGTGGTGACGGATGAGGAGATTGCGCAGGGCTTACAGATTCTGGAGGATGCAATTGCTGCGACGAGGTAGGATTGTGCCTCACAGATAGGTTGACGTCTTGTCGTGTGGAAAAGACGTATAGCGGCATATATCCCTCTGAATGTGCGCAGGTCCAATTGATGTATTCAACCCACTTTTTTTATGATACTTAAAGATACTTTATTATTAAGTATAATAAACTGGTATATTTTTATATACTTATATATTTTTAAAATCTTAGTTACTTATTATTAGCTAGAACCCTGGCCCGTTACAAAAATTGGACCTGCGCACATTCAGAGGGATAGCGGTATATATACAATTGCATTCTGACTGGCGCGTCTTATTACGGGTCCCGTTGGCTAATGACTCTGGATAAGGGTACTCGTGAACAATCACCGTGTTTAAAGTCACCTGAATGTATAAACTGGCTTTGCATTTTATAAATGTGCTAATGATATACTGTGGCATTTCCTCAAGGCAGTGGTGACTTTTCCGAGGAGTGAGTCTAAGTATTGCTCCGATGGCATGGCAAGCCAAATTAATCCTTTTCAGCATATGAAAAGTATTGCTAATTAACAAGCCGCATGAGTCTTGCCAGTCTTGCCCTGAAGGGAATGATCATCATCCTGCAAATTGTGAGCCACGATTCA